CACAACTTACCTCCACCTTACGGGAGTTGTCACCTCCCTTCGGTGGGCGTATCCCCGCCGAGCTACCAGTCCACAGTACGAAAGCTACTCGGTTGCAATCGCAGAGGTCGACCAGCCGAGGGCGTTTCTCGTTCACTGTAGCATAGGGGGTACGCGCGGTAATACGCCTATCGGACCCTCACGCAAACCAACATCTTGGGGGGGGCTGAACTCCCAAGCGCGGCCCGACGTCAGTCGACTAGGACGCATCCCACACACCACGCGCACACCACTTTACGAACACAAAAATAAAACATACGCGCACGCACACATTGCACAAACGACACAACGCAAACAATGCGACAACGCTTCTAGCCCCTCGGTAACCAACCCGTAACTTTCCGACGCGGAAATCGGATAGGCGTCGCGCGCGAGACTTAGTATAAAACTGCGCGGGCGCAGGGCTAACTCGTATCGACTCGCAATGCGAACGTACGCAAGCAGTCGCAATGATGGTGCACTACGTCATGCCCATAATCGTGTGGCCCCCGTTAACTTCGAGGGTCGCATTCGACACTCAAGTGTCGGCTGACACACGCCTTGAGGGTTAATCTCTCGACGCTGGACAACCGCCGTGCGCGGTTGGAGACCACACCCTCTTCTGCACCCTGTGCAGAGGGGTTGAGTAGACAACTTTAAAGTTGTCGTGGCGGTCGAACATCAAGGGGTTTAACTTTGACGGCCGCCACGGACTATAACGTCCAACCATGAAAACGCAAGAAGGAATCTCACTTCGACCCCCCATTAGCTGATGGCCCTCAAAAATGAAAAGGGGGTGGATAAACCCAAACGACGCGCGCGCGGAGGAGGTCCGGTATCCTACCCATAGGCTACCTGACGTCCGGGGTAATGAGGCCCATACACGGATTCCCATAAGCTGACCGGGGCTAGTCCTCCGCCCACGTGCCGCTTCACGTTACCAAGACCACAAGTTTACTGGCCGTGTCGTGCTCGTGGTCTCGCCGCCTGACCCATAACTCTTTTAGTGCGGGATGCGGCGAATATCGCGCGCGAGCCTAGTATAAGGTCGCGAGGGCGCTGGACTTACACATACTATCTCGCTATGCAGTTCTATGCGAGTAACCGCGATGACGACGCTTTATGTAGTGCCCACACCCAAACGGCCTACTCTACGCCAATGGGTCATCTTTCGACGCTCAGGCGTAGGCTGAAGCGCGAGCCAATGGGGGTAACCCTTTAGCGCGCGCAAAACCGGCCTGAGAGCCTTTCCGTCTTCTGCACCCTGAGGTGTCCCAACGGGTGCAGGGCAAGACGGCCCCTAGGGAAGGAGGGAGTTTGAAGCGGTGGTGAGTTGTCTGGCGCATCACCAGCGAGACGCTGACTCTTCCGCCCGGAACTTTATCGTTCCACCAAGATAAATCGCAACAAGGAAAATATACAGGGATTGGCGAGAGATATCCCCTCCCTTCTATTCACCCCAACCTTCGACTGACTCTTAGTACGCGGGCACTTCAGGCCATGTCAGCCCCACACGTAGGTACGCATGCACTGACACATATATATATATCGTATATATATATTAAGGTAGATTATCATTTACAGTGTAATCAGTGAGGGGATTCTGCAGACTGTTGAGGGTTCAGCCTCCTGATGAGTCGGTGAAA